GCGGTTGAGGTGCACGGAATCGCAATTCTCCTATTGGGGGTTTAGCGAACGGTATACCTTCGAAAGCATAATAAAACTTATCGTAAATTGTCTTTCGCTTCGCACCTTTCACTCGGCCACAAAGCGTGTCAACTATTTCATGTTCATAAGTAGTCAGATAATATTGTTGCACTCTAAAGGCGATAAATCTGGCAAAGGGAAGAGAGAATAAGAATCAGTTCAAAAAATCCATAAGCGATTCGTTATTTCGTTTGATGATTTCGTTAAGGGAAATATAAAAACTTGCAGAAACAATTTTTGTTTTATACTTAATGATATTTATATATCTCAATACATTTGCGTGCAATCGTTTATAATATGATATAATGATATAACCGTTTGAATGGAATAATTCGTAATCTAACGTTTGCAGATTTCTTAGTAAATATACCTCTTGAAGCCATAGAAAACGTATTCAACTGAAAATATATATGATAGCGTTATAATCTGAACATGCTATGTAAGCGCAATCCTTCTAAGTTTAACTTATACATACATCAGCGATGATCACTATATCCGTTCATAAGGTGTTACGTTGCAAAGAGTTCTGGATATATACGATATAAGTTATTATATCTTACATCACTTGTGATAGAGGACATACTAAGTTTGTGCGGACGTACGTAACACCAAGAAGGGCTTACGATAGACCCATCTTTCTAAACTTGTCCGTCCGTCTTGTTTTTCTAAAAGCTGAAATTTTGGAGATATTTTGATGAAATTTTGTAGACTGAGAGGTTTTATTCAAGGCTCGAGTCAGCTGTTTTACAACATTACAATTTTTAGAATTTTATAATCAAAATTGCTTAATAATAGTATATCGACATTTTACATTGATTTGAAAACCTTCGATCGAAGACGACTAATCTAACTTTAAATACTTCTTAATGAACATTCGCTCATAATAATAATTTAGCATAAAAATTAACCTTATCAAATTTGGTCCATATAGGTCAATTCCGTAAACCATCCTGCTATGGTCCGTGCACTTACATAAAAACAAAGTATAATTTCTGATGTATTATCACAGAAGTGAATGAATGACTGTATTAATTAAAGGGGTGTAGGGTACGTAATGGCAGACTTTACCCAACTATAGCATTCTTACTCATTTTTTTGCTATTATAAAAGCTAAGGTCCAAAAGGGACATAATTTATTTTTTATTCTATTTTTTCGATTTTTACTCACTTAATACCCAATTTAACTAAATCGAATACACCGAGATTTACGTCCATTGCCGGCAGAAATTTCGAAAGTTTCGCTTTCTTAAATGATTTTCTATTTTTTCCTTTCGTTCTTTTCTATTTAAATTGCACTAAGTATTTATAATATTTAAAATTAATGTAAATAAATTTTTTATGTTTTTTAATATTTTTTTTATTCGATCGTATTAGTGAACTCTTTTTGAACGAAACGAAAACAGTAGATCTGGATATTCTCTATCGTATAATCCCAAATACTTCCGTTCAAAAGCGATTTAATGCGAGTTAGGATGGTGCGATATGGATAAATATCAGTTATAAAATGTGCGAAATATTCGTTATTCATTTGAAAACTGATCAAACTAATGGGTAAATACTTCACGATATGTTTAAAAATTCACAACGAAACTTGTCTAAGTTTGTCTATATGTAAGTATACATATGTGTGTGTACATAGTGATCGCTATATCGTTATATATAAAGAGGTCGAGTAATTAATCTGAAGGGGGTCTGATATACCCTACAACACTTGTAATACAATCCAAATAAAGTTTTATGCGG